AATGACAGTGGTGAAACCCTGGCACAGGTTGTCCACAGAGGTGGTAGATGCCCCATCCCTTGAACCATTCAAGGTCAGGTTGGACGGGACTCTGAGCAACATGATCTAGTTGAAGATGTCCATGCCCATGGCAGGGGCGTTGGACTAGACTAAGGTCCTTTCCAACCCAAACTATTCTATGATTCTATTTTTAGTTTTAAAAATATTTTTACGTGTGCACACACACATACATAATTTTAATGTATATATAAGTTTCTATAACTGTATGTAATGTGTATTATAAGTTGTATACATTTGCTTCTTAAAATTGTAAGAAGCTATTTTTCCTTTCTTCATTTAACAGGTCTAAAGCCTTTAAATTGCATTGATACCAGTCTTTCAGTCTTGTCTGTTGTGTATTTTAGCCTTGACAACCACATAATAGTTCAGTTAAATAATTCCTTAAACCATATTCTCAGCCAAAACAAGTTTAGATAATGTCTGAATCAAGATGGAAGGATATGCTTAAACAAGCCCTTGTTTTAGTTGGGCGTGTATGGGATGTGTGGAAATCTGTCTGTTTTATAAGCAGTCACCGATGGGGAAATAGAGCTGTACAGGTCATTGCATGGCCTTTTCAAACTAACTCCCTATGAAGAAAAAGAGAGTGAACAGAAATACCTTGGAAGTTCTGCCAGAATGTTTGCAGAGAGTTACATTGAACGTGTTCTCTATTTTTTCTTAGTCGATCTATTAATGTTGTATGAATGAAACTAGTATGCTTCCAACCAACTGGTTCTGTCTGTGAAAAGTGGTTTTTGTGTTTGTTGCCCATGATAGAGCAAGGAAGAAATCCCAGTCATTACCGTTAGTGATTTTACTAAACAGTGAAGTGCAAGATATAATATGGGGAATTGATGGCATGTGTGCTAATATGCTAAAATATAAAAGGCTTGGGTGATTTTAATTTCAGATGTTCTGTCTGAGCATTTAAGAAAGAATGGTTTGGTACTTCTAATCAAACAATAACTATTTAATTAAAACATTTCTTTTTAAAATACAGACTAAAGTGCATTGTACTAATGGATGCCTCCAAAACTTTTACTTTCAATTTTTAATCTGGTACCTTCTTTCTTAATATTGCTTTACTTTGCGACAGTTTAAAAAACAATGCTGGTTTCCTTTTTGTCTCCTGCCCTGCTTTGCAAATTAATAATGTACCTGTTGTAGGTTTTTATGGTTTGCATGAATCTGATTTAGACAAAGTCTTTCAGCTGCCTACAACCACCTTCATAGGAGGAAATGAGAACAGTCTTTCTTTACGAGAGATCATCAAACGGCTGGAGGTTAGTGGGACATTTTTTGATTTGTGATTGTTTTCATCCAAACAGAAGTGAACTTTTTCCAGTTGCCAGTCACAAAAAATTTATAATTTTTCAATTATTAATAGAGCATATAAAGAATTCAAATTACATAAAAAATAACCCTTTTACTGTTTCTAGAGATGGCAGCACCATTACTTTCATTGCCTGGATATCTGAAATACATAGATTAAGGATGAGTATAAAAGAGGTGAATATGGTAGAATACTAATTTGGGCCCTAGTTCTGTAAAGAACTGATGTTTAAAAGGAGTAGAGCCTTTAGAAATTGTCTCTTAAGTGTCCTACCACAGATAGAACACCTTTGCATACAGTACTCAGGATGTGCAGGGGTTGCTCTCAGAACCTGAGCTTTAGTGAGACTTACCTGAGTAAAAAAATATGAGGGTTGGGTACCAAATTCATGAAAGCACAACTGTAGTTTGTAGATAGTGATGGTCCTTGTTTTCCATCCCCAATCCTTTTTCTAGAGTTTCATTATCTGACAGGTGATATGGATATGCCATGTGAAGTCATCAAAGAAAAAAATCATTTAAAGCAAAAATATTATAAAGGAATAAATATAATTAGAGAGGAACTCCAAATAGAAAAACAGCAAGTAGGAATGGTAATGAATATGTAAGCTACTGAGTTAGTAAGTATTGGATATTCCCAATTGTGCTTTTTCTAGGATTTTGGAGTACTGAAGTTGTAGAGATTTCTGTTGCATGGTAATGAAATCCATTGGAGTAAAAAGGGCTAGGGGTGAGGAAATATTTTAAAGGATGAAATATGGAATGAAGTTACAGGAATGCAAACATAAAACTAAAATAATTACTGAGCGTATAAGAGTTCATGGCTTTGACCTCTTGCAAGTGTGAGAGAACGTGTTGACTTGTATGTTTGACTATAATATCGGCCAAGCTGAAGCATGCTAATTTGTTAAACCACGATATCTCTGTTGTGCATTTGAGTTCTATATTTGCTTTTTGTTTTTTGCACTTCTAGCACGTCTGTGCAGCAATTTTCAAAAGATAATCCTTAAAATTGTAATGTGCAAATAAATGGACAAGATCAATAGCAAAATCTAAAAGCTTCAAGGAATTAATTAGTACAAAAGAGAAATAACCCTCTGGTTTCCCTCTTCTCTCCAGAGCTTTGGATTTCTTTTTAAATTGAAGTTAACATTAAATTCCTTTTTAGAGGCAGTACAGGGCACATACTGTGTGTTCAGGGTGGTTTTGTCTCAAATTAAACTCAAAGTAGGTCTTCTGTTGACTTGTGTTTTGGACACATTCTTCTGGTGAAATACTCTTTTTAAGGTAAGAAAAAGAGAATTTAAAAAATGCAACAAGGATAAAATTTCTGAAGTGTCTTTGCATTTTTCCCTGTCCTTTCTCTGCTTTCAGCGGCTTGGATTCTTTTTCCGATTTCCAGCCTTCTAAGAATTGACAGTTATTAGATAATTTGCATGAGGCTTCATAGCTGTCTTCTCATTGTTTTTATTGCTTGATTTCATGTGACATTTAAAAAAAGACAGGGTAAATTTTGATAAATAACTTGAAATTTTTGCTGGTGCATG